GTTGAAAGATGTAATTACAGGGATAAAACGAACTTTTGGCTCAATTGTAATTTTGTATCATCAGAGCTTATAATCTATAAGTCCATACGGTTTCCTTGCTAATTCATATTAACACTAAAAGGTTTAATTTATTTGAAAGAAAATTTGAAGGGTTTAAATTGATATATTAAATATAATTTTAAATATCAAATTAATATTTAATATATTAAATAAATAAAAAATATATTTAGGGTTTAGGATTGAGCTAAAGACATACGAATCTCTCCCATTTCCTCTGAAGAATGAAATTATATATTTGGAGAATTCTCGAATCTCTCCTTCTCCAATCCCTTTGGGATTTTCTTTCAAGAGACTCCCACAAGCCTTGAACTTGTGTTCGAGTCATAGCAAGGAAGATCTCGTGGAATGTGGAAAAACTTTTGTATCCAAGCAGTCTTGCAAGGATTTTTACAAACGTAGAGTTTTTACTCTCGAATTTATTGCTTTTTTTTTTTTTAATTCTTAATAAAATCAAAATGGTTCTCAATGCTTCTAATACGTGGATGAGGAGTTCATTCCCTATAGAAAACAGTCCATACAGATATTCAGGGACCATCTCCAGCTCCTTCATTTAGTGAATCAAACTTTTACGTCACCTTTATTGATGATTTCAGCAGGAAGGTGTGTATCCCACCTTGAAGTGGAAAACTGAAGTTGGAAATCAGACTGACTTGAAGATCAAATTTTTGAGGTCCGATAATGGAGGAGATTACGACAAGTCAGAATTCAACATTTTGTGCAGTTTGAGTGAATTAGATTAACGAGGATAGTTTTTGGTAAAGTAAGAAAAAATGGTGTTTCTAAACGAATGAACAGAACATTAAATGAGCGAGTAAGAAGTATAGTGATTCATTTTGGATTGCTAAAGGCATTCTGGACCGATGTTATAAATACAACTGACTTGATCAATAGAGAACCATCAGTACCCTTGGGGATCACGTTGACAGAAGAGGTATGGACAGGAAAAGAACTCAAGTACTTTCACTTGAAAATTTTTGGCTGCACTATGTATGTTCGTGTTGATCCAAAGAAGAATGGCAGGCCTAACGTTGAGGCTGTGAAGTGCTACTTCATAGGCTGTGATTTTGACAATTTCGAGTACAAGTTTCGAAACATCAAGAATAAAAGAATCCTAAGACATTGTGATGTGACTTTTGATGAAAATGTCTTGTACACGGATAAAATTGGAGGTTAATATTCATAATAGTTGCATAAAACAAAAACACTCAAACTCATTATATTAAAATTTGATCCGTACACTTGAATTTTTGCAAATCAAGTAACAAAAAAGTCATAAAACACCGTAACGAAACACCATAATTCTAAACTATCATTCACTCAAAATTTGTAACCATCTAAAAATAAGTAAAACTTATTTTCTTCGTAGTTCATATTATATGATTGAGATATCTTGATCCATATAAAAAACGGTTGAATACTCAAAGTTAGGAAGCCTCTTTGATGACTAAGCCATGCCCTTCTTCAAGGTACATACTCAAACTTGCATGAACCATGACCTGCCAAGGAAAGGAAGATTAGTTTTAAGGAAAATGTATAAGCAAGTTGACCAAGAAAACGGCGAGGTCCACGTTGATTGGAAAAAGGAACGAGTTTCAACGAGAACTCTGGACTTTGAAGGGGGTGAAATGTGAGATCCCACATCGGTTGGAGAGGGGGAACGAAACATTTTTTATAAGGGTGTGGAAACTTCTCGAGGGTAGATTAGGAGATCCCACGTCAATTGGAGAGAGGAATGAAATATTCTTTATAAGAGTGTAAAAACCTGTTAGGATGGATTGTGAGATTCGACATCAGTTGAAGAGGGGAACTAATCATTTTTTATAAGGGTGTGGAAACCTCTGAGGATTGGATTGTGAGATCACACGTCAATTCAAGAGGGGAGCAAAATATTTTTTACAAGGGTGTAGAAACCTCTCGATGGTGGATTGTGAGATCCCACATCGTAGGAGATTGCAAGATCCCACATTAGTTGAGGAGAAGAATGAAACATTCTCTATAAAGATGTGGAAACCTCTCCCTAGTAGACACATTTTAAAAACCTGAGAGAAAACCCGAAAAGAAAACCCCAAAGAGAAAAATATCTACTAGCGATGAGCTTGTACTGTTACAAAAACAATACAGGAAAGCTCAAAGAGAAAAATATCTACTAACGATGAGCTTGTACTGTTACAAAAACTATACAGAAAAGCTCAAAAAGAACAATATCTACTAGCGATGAGCTTGTACCATTACAAAAACTATATAGTAACCATGAAGTACAAGACGAGAAGATCAAGAAGATGGGGTTAGATTAAGAACACTTACTAGGATCGAGAGCGGTGACCATGGCAGCCGAATTGAAGAAGCAAGAGGCACCCTTATGCTTAAACTTTTGATAGTAACTATTAAAAGCATAAGAAGCATGATCCCTAACAGTGTCTGGGTAAAAACAAGGACGCTTCACTTGAATATCACCACAATTCGCTCCTCCTTTCCCACAAGCCCAATCAAGAGCTCTTTGCAGCTCATCATCCGGCACTTGCTCATCAGCTATGCACCACTCCTCAAATTGCCCCTCTTTCATAACCCAACACAGGAAAGAAAAAAAAAAAATCGAACCCATTTTTCTTTCATAACAAAAAGACGGTCAAGAAATACTCTCCATTAGTATGAGGCTTTTTGGAGAAGCCCAGACCAAAACAAAGCCACGAGAACTTATACTCAAAGTGGACAACACCATACCGTTGTGGAGAGTTGTGATTCCTAATAAAAACAAGACAAACAAGAAGCTAAGTACCTGATCTTCGTGGAGCTACGAGGAAAGCGAGCAGCACAGACAGATGGAGAATGGTGAGCCGAGTAGAACGAGAAGACATTGTAGTGTTTTGTTCTAAATGATCTGTGTGGCCATGTTTCAACAAAGGTTTGGTCTTTAAGAAATGATAGGACTTCACAGCCTTCGAGAAAGTTAAGATTCATTTCTTCAAGCTTACGTCAAAGAAACACTTCAAGCTTTCTTTTTTTGGGAATCATTTAGGTTTAAACATAGATTTGGAGTTTAATAATTTTTTGAACTCACATGCTTAACACTTTAGTTATGGGAAGAGGGGAATCAAGTTAGTGGATGTAACATAGTGGAAGGTGTGTAGATGACAAAGGCTAACATGTCTCATTAACATTACTTTATTTGGATGTGTTAGATGCACTTTGAGCTCCCTTTGTTTTTTTTTTTAAGTTATTGATATCCATTTTACTCGATCTCGTGATTGTGGGGAAGAGATTCCCTGCTTAGTCGAGGAATAAGAGAGGGGTCGAGAACGTTTTTTCTTTGATAGATAAATAGGACAGAGACGAGATTATATTTTTCGTCCCCGCCCAATTCCTTGTCCCGCTCCACATTCCTTATCATTTGTTATCAGAACTTTATTTTCAAGATCGAATATATGTTTCCTTCGTGTTTTTTTTTTTTTCAATTTGATTTTTATTTGTCTTGGCTTATAATCGATCCCGAGGTTAAAAACCAATCATGGCTCTAGAGTCACTTGAGTTTGGAAGAGTGACCATGGTGCTTATAAGCTATTAGGTTACTTTGTGTGGTCCAACGCACTAAGATGTGTTTACAATGTAGGAGCCCTCAAGAGAACCCTGCCCATTTCCACCAGATAATGTCACATGATCGTCTCAGTGTGTTACACTATCCAGCTTATTAGGTTTGGCTCGACAGTAACGCACATGAGCTCCTACTGCTTGGAAGGGTGCTAAAGGTTCGATCTGGGTCACTGTTAGCCCTAATAGTATACTCAAGGAGATATGAGTAAGAAACTCGGGTGATATCATTCACACTGCAACTAGGCCTCTTGAGTTTTCTTAGTCATCCTTGTCATGGAGGTTTACTAGGTTCTTAGGGCGTATAGAAGGTTTAAATCTCATCTCACATTGCTAAAATACTTGGGACTAACTCTTTGGGGCTAAGGTTTAGACCTCTAATCACTACTTATGATCCTAGGTTGTTCGGTCTACTAGAAACATATTGACCTAGGTCCACGTGAAGCCGCTCTAATTCTAGCGTCCTAATCTTAACTTGGCTCACTCACACATGCTTTGTTAAGGAGATAATCCTATCGACTGTCTACTCTAATCCTAGAAGTACTTTGGTAATTTTTCACATCATACATAGCTTTCTCAACCAAATTTTTTTGTCTAGAGTCGTAATCATGAATATTCTAACCACTTAAGGTAAGATATGCTCGCACATCAGCACATTTTAAGAATCTCTGCGAGTAATATTTCAAAAAAATTTGAAGGGTTACTTTACTTGGGTAACATGCATGCATAAGCTTCCATACATTCATCATTTATAACCTCATAAAGGTCGTGTACCAAAAAACTCTTCATCATAATGCAACATGACATCTCATACATGCACATCATTGTAATATGAAATATTATCATATTATGTCGCATCAGCATTATACATCTTATGTCATCATGTCATAATAAATCATCATTCCAACGTACCATCATATCAACATAACATCATCATAATGCATAATCATATTGTATCAATTCACGTCATTGTATCATCATAACCTCATCATAATACATCATTATATTATATAAGCATACCTGACATGTGCAAGAGCCATTGGACACATGTTACATAAGATAAGTCTTCCAACCGAACTGATAGTAAGACCATTCGATAAGAAAGAGAAACGGCTCGTCTACGACAGCAAAATTTTAGTGTAAAATAGAATGAGTTTTGCATGAGAAGTTTGCAAGTTTTGCGTGATTAGGGTTAGTTATGGAGAGAAGTTGGACAATATTCAATTTAAATATGGCCGTTTATCTAGATGTCTCTTTCCAAAACTCATTTTTATAATGGGCCGATGTAACTATTTTGGGCCCGGCCCATGAAAAAGCCCATTCATCAGTCCGCAATCACTCGCACTTGCATCGTCTTCAACTCCCAGCGATTCGGCAACCGAGTTTTTGCAGAGTCCCACAGCAATTTAGGGAGAGAGAGAGCCGGCGGATATCAGATTCAGTTTCAGTTTCAGTTTCAGCTCCGGAGAAGACAAGATGAACACTGACATTACAGCATCGACCAAGCCGGAGTACCCGGTAATAGATCGGAACCCTCCATTCACCAAAGTCGTCGGCAATTTTGACACTCTCGATTACCTTCGTTTCGTCACCATCACCGGCGTTTCCGTTACCGTCGGCTATCTTTCCGGTGCCAATTTCTTCTTTCTTCTTTTCTTCTTTGTTTCTCTTCCTTTTTCCTTACTAATCTGGAAATGTGTTGTGTTCTTTGCGTTTTAGGGATTAAGCCCGGGATTAGAGGACCGTCAATGGTGACCGGCGGTCTAATTGGACTGATGGGAGGCTTCATGTATGCTTATCAGAACTCGGCCGGTCGGCTTATGGGGTTTTTCCCCAATGAAGGCGAGGTAGCTCGTTACAAGAAATAAGATTGTGCGTTTTAGGGTTTTTTCTTCTTCTGAATTTCGAGTTCTATTTGTGGACATTTTTACGATGTTCTACTTATTAACCATGCGACCGGGTTGTGTCAATAAGCTAAATGAAGCTTCATTCTGTTTCTGTTTTGCTCCTTTTCGTCTAAATGAAATAGTTGAAGACTTCACATGATTCTTTGTTTTTGATCCATAAACAAAGATGCCCGTTAAGGGGTTTGGAGAAATGAACCTTTGTGTAATTTGTATGTCCATTTTTTATTTCCTATGTTAGTTGGTATGGTTAGAATATAATATCTCTTGCCACATTGTCATAAACTCAAGTTGATTTCCAGAGTTTCAGGGTGTAACCAGGAAATTGGCAGTAGTACGCGAGTAGCTTTAAGAGGGAAACAAATGTTCTTTATTATCCAAACAGTATAACACCAATGAACTTCAAAGAAAAAGTTCTCACACACTTTGCTATGATGCTCTTTTATGTGATCTCTTGTGCTAGCATTTCATCTTTCAAGCGGTCTTCTTCTGATTACGTGATTGTCATCCACAAATGGTAACGTTTTTCTTAGTAATAGGCAAATTTTGCTCTTCCTGATGTGGCTGTGATAGATCCTAGATATCAGACTCTTTATTACTTTTCCGTTGATGGGTGTCACAGCATTTCAGAAGGTAGAATATTTGGAAAGTTGGCTGACAATCTGGTGGACTATGAAATTTGTTTGTTTGAACCTTGGATGTTTTTAAGCTCCTGAGAAAGTTGAAGCATAATTTTTGCTCAATTTCTTTTTTCTTGTTTTGCTTGTTACTTTCTCATTGTTTTGGCTGTATGGTCTTTTGTTTAAAGAGAAAGGTTCAATGATTTTTCTTTTCATATGATGAAAATTGGAAATGATTCTTGATGTTTTGAATGCTTTCTTTAGTCTCATAAAAGGATAGCCTTCATTGTAAGTTCCTATGACTTATGGGATGATTAAGCAGTGAAGCTACTATTTTGTGCTCGTTGGATGGCATGATGTAGATTATATATCATTTTATCACCAACAAATTCTTTCTGACAGTGATTTTGAAATCTTACTCTTGCAATTATGATTTCTTCTTTCTAACAGGAAGTATTGAGGGTTATAAATTAAAATTTTAATTTTTGTATGGTTGTTTGTGGGATGCCCTTTTGTTTATTACAGATATTTGATCAGACTAGACTAAAGCAGTCTCTATATGTGACTGCATAAACTTCGGTGCGGTGGAGGGTTAAACCTTCGATTTTAAAGAAAGAAATAGATATCGTTATAAACTTCGAATGTGTTTACCTTGGTCTTTGTGGATACTTTATAAAGTCAACAAATAATTGAACACTTAGAATGGTTTGGATCATCCGGTGGTGGGATATTCTATGGTTCATAGGATGCCTAAATAATGTTGTTTTTTTTCCTGGAGTATAATTGTTTCTGTTTCTGTTTCAGATTCTTGGAAAATATGTATTTATGTGTATATGGAGAGAAATTAGAAGTCAATAAGTTAGTGAGATACTCTGTTAGTGAGACAAAACTCCATTGGCAGGAAGAATTAGGAAAATGATGCGAGTATACATGATTGCTGCCTTACCTCATGGCATTAGGTATGAGTCTTGAGGAAAGTGGTTTGTCAACACTGCTTCATTTTGCATCCTAAGATCCAACGATTGACCCCTACTTCTCACCTTGTAATAGATATAGAGATGAATTCTTATATCCCTTTTCCACTCCATCCAGAAATGATCCGACGTTATTCCGGGTCGTCTCCATTTTAGTGAAACTCTTCCTCAAGCAAGGCAGCTGATAAGTAATCGAAGAGTTTGTGTGAATAAAGGAATGATCCCCATTACTTATTTTAAAGTGTCCCACGGTGATCTAATATCTTTTCAAGAAAATGACGTGAATAAATAAGATCTTTCTAATATCGATAAAGTCTATTGCTAGCAGATATTGTCCACTTTTACCTGTTACGTACAATCGTCAGCCTCAGTCATAATTTTAAAATGCATCTACTAGAAAGTTTCGCTCTCTAATCGATGTGAGATCTTACATTACTGAATCAAAAGTTTCCTCCTCATCAACAAAGAGGTATAGGTTACATGGAGTCTAGCCAGAATTGTCAAGTTCTATTCTAAGGTCTAATCTAAGTTCAAAGAAAATTTGAAGAAAATACAACTTTTGTTTAACTTTTCAACATATATAGGCCTGACCCAAACAACTTTTTCATTATTTAACTATGAAAAGTAGTTGCTATACTGCAATGGAAACTGGCAGTGGGTGAGATAATTCTTTAAGAATACAAGAAACAGGTGGGTGATCAACGACTTACCCAATAATACACACATGAATGTCTCCTCCCTCAATAATGAATTGAGTTTTCAACTAACACAAATACATATGACAATACCATTCACTCCTTTTTCCCTATCATCCAATCCATGAAAACAATCCCATTTTCTAAACCTACAACTGCTACACTCCTCTTCAATTCAATTCCATCCGTTTCCAAAATCGCCCGTTCCTTGCTTAACGTAATCGTCGGGACAACCGAACAACTGCTATGTTTCGGCATAGGCTGCTGGGCTGTATGTCATTCTGCAGACCTACTACTAAGAACAACTATGCTGTGGTCGTAAACTCAACCTTGTGTGCTTCTTCTACAACAGTTCTTGCTGTCTCTATCACTACTTGCCCGCTAACATAATGTTGTCGACATACGGGCATATACATGTCAGCACCACCAATCAGCTCTGTCTCTTTTTCTTCTGTCTTCCTTAATGTAAAGAAAGCTCGATTCCCACAGATCTCGCATCGAGCAGTTAACTTTGTTACAGAATCGGCAAGCGGAATTATATCAAGAACTGAACCAAAGCTCCTCCTGTTCATGTTTTTCAGATAAACCCCAACACAAAAAAGCTTTAGCTGAGTTACTAATGCGTATTCAGTTTAAATCAATATGAAAGCTTCAGTTGAATGTGTGCCAAATGAAAGGCCATCAGTTTTGAAGAAAATAATTCAAATATTTCGAATGAACGAACGAAAACTACGCCAGTAACTTTGATAATACCTCAAGTAATCCCCATCCAACCCAGCAACTATAACAGTTTTGCCATCCATATCAGCAGCTTCACGACAGAAATCGTAAAGATCATCGAAGAATTGAGCTTCATCGATTCCAATCACATCAAGCTGTCATACCAATATCAAAAGCAAACTAACAATTTAGTTAACAGGAAAATCAGTATGCCCAATTAGTCAGCTATCTGCTCATTCTAACTGTAAACCAAATCTTTAGCCTCATACAGAGATATCAAGCTTTCCTTAAGAAGGTAGGATTATCATACCTTGTCATAAGCACCTTCGCCAAACTTTTGTTTGAAAGACGATAAGTTCGGTACTGCCCAGCAAGGCAGTTTCATGCCATCGTGCGTCACAATCGAATCCAATCCATATCTCGTGTCTTTATTCGACTTAATAATGGCTACACTTCTGTAAAAAATAATAATTCTTATGAATTGTACCCAAAAAAGAGGCTTCTACACCAATCAAGATACCTCATAGCACAAATTCAATCCAAGTTATCAAATCCCAAGTAGGTGATCACCATTGAACTCTTGTATCATCTCCAAATTATAAGATATAACGCCAAATTGTACAATCCAACAGAACTGGTGCATACATTTGCAAAAGCCAAAAGGCATGGTGAAAATGCAAGTCGCCTACTTCTTGAATGTTTCTTTATTTTACAGTTCAAATGGAAACTGTTTAGACCTTAGAACTTGGTGCAACAATGTCTATGTATCAATAGCCTTGTTTCAAAGAAAGAGTCAGGGTCATATGGTCTAATGTTAAAAGGGCTGCCTTCTAGGGTGTTGAGAGATACATTAAAGGGGAAATTCTTTATCAAGAGGCCAAAACCCACATCATATTTCAGCCTAACCCCTCGTTTATCACCAATATGCAGAACTCTAATATTGAGAATTTGTACGAATAGACAAGAATAATCATATTAGAACCGTTCAAAACGGTTAAGAATGAGAAACATAGGTTATTCTTAACATGGTATCAAAGCGGGAGAAGAGGAAGAATGGAAGAAAGTGACAAAGATCGGAACAGAGGACTTTCAATCCCATTTTTGTTTCTCATTCTTATTCTTAACGTAGTATCAGATCATCATTCTTCACAAAAACCTTAGAGTACCATTTTCTTCTCATTTCTTATTGGATACCCTCATGCTATTATTCAAGCCAATAAAATTCTCCCAATCTATTAGCAAACTTACCACCGACCATCATAACAATAAGCCCCATTTCCATTAATCGTAGAAACTTAGAAATACAAGGGAGACAAGTCCAAACGAGACTAGAGAAAACATTACAATAAACACTCGCAACCCATTAGATTAATGAATAGAAGCACAAAATCAGAGCATAAAATACCTGCCATTGATGCTCTCGGACTGAATCCGCCGAAGAAGAGAGGTTGTTTTCCCAGCAAACATCGGCCCTACTATCACATGAACCTCGCCGGAGGGCGGTGACAAGGAAGCTCCCATTTGGGCAGTTCGCTTCTGGGTTGAAAACCCCTCGTTTCTGGGCAACGAAACTCTGGGCGTTTTCAGAGAGAAAAAATTGGACAAGTGGGTGAATATAGGGTTGCATTGCGTCGATTTATAAGCCAAAGAGAGGGTTGGAGAAGCGGTAATGGGGAAATAGGGCGAGAGGGTTGAGAAAGATGATGATGATACGAAGGATTTCATCTTTGAAATGGGTAGCATAAGCGTATTGAGGAGGGTTTTGATGGGGTTTTGGCAAAGGGTTGAGAAAGGTCTGTAAATTTTGATTTGGAGAGCGGAGACGTTGGGGTTTGGTTTGCCCCAAACTCTGTTTTGTTGAAGCTACGTTCCCAACTCAGCAATAAGAATTTAATTAAATTATACAAAAATAAATGTCCATTTCTGACCCTTTTATATTTAAAATAAAGTAAATTAATAAAAATGCCCTTCTAAAAAATATCTTTAAATTTTGCCAAAGATAAAAATTAAAAAAGTTTTGGATGAAAACAATTAATATTGTTTTAAAATACTGTCTTGGAAAATAGAAAAAGTGGATAACAATAGTCGTAAATTCTAAGATTTTCGGTACTGTTCTTGAAAGACCATTTTCAAAGAAAGACGCTCACCCACGCTTTGACATTCATACATGCCACAAGGTAGCTCACTTAGGCCACGGGTCTAGGGGTGGTGGAGAGCTGACATCATGTCTCCCCTATAGTACATTTTGAGGCATCTTCAATTTCTCAAGTAGACGACATTTTCACAAGCAGACATACGACTTGTGCATAGTCCGTGAGTATTTAATTGACACTAAATTTGGTGAGCTTTCATCTTTCATATCAACGGACTTAATTCCCAAGCTACATGCATAATTCATATCAAAATTTCGACTTCTTAGGTTAAGGTTTGGGTCCTTGTCCAACCCTTTTCGAGCTTGTCTTCGACATGAGTGTCGCCTCACTCTCTGGAACCTTGTGTATGCCTCGACTTAGATTCATTACACACTCTTGGCGTGTTGGGTGATGCACCATCATCCTCGGTCGCAAATGATACTTCTCAATTTTGTCCCTCACGTGGCCAGATGGGCTCCACTTGAGAGCGCCCCTTGTTTGTCTTGTGTGTGGGGGTCAACCTACTTTCTCTTAGTGAAGTTGTGATACTATTGCATACATGACTCATAGGTGTACTATAACATGAATGAAAGAAATAATGAAATTATTCTTATTATATGCTATGATTTTAAACCATGGGGACCTCATGCATTTATGTATGTCATGTCGGGATACTTCTCTATTATGTTATGACACATACCTTTGATATCCATGTTCATCATGATATCATGTGAGTCTTTCCCTATGTGTTGCTCGACGACGCGTCAGTGTGTTTAGCCAGACGAGCTAGGCCCAAGGGTACGTATACGAGTTGTTTGGTGGGTTCATGTGCGTGTACATGAACCATGTGTGGGAAAGTACCACACATTCAACCCTGCCTAGACCGGAAAGAACTCAGGGTCATGCTATGTTATTTTAAAATGATAGATCTCATCATATATGTGTGTGTTTGCATCACTTGACCCAACAACACAGTTACTTATTGAATATTTTTTAAAATACTTAAGTCACATGCTACCCTTATATTTCAGATAAAGGTAAAGTATCCTTGCACAGATGATGCTGAATGTTAAAATGGCTTTAGAAGCTAAAACAGATCAATAGTGTGCATTTGTTTTCATAGGTGACTTTCAATTTCGTAATGAAAATTATGTAATGTTTTGTTTTGATGTTGATGTTACTTTTATTCTTTATTTTTAAATTAAACGTATAAGTTGATGGCTCCGTATGAAAGGTTTTATTCAACTTTCTGCATATGTTAATAAAGGCATTCATGTAGTGACGTTTTTTTATCTAAGTAAGAAAATTAAGGACGTTACACTAAGCATGTTTGACTTGATGTGTATTCTACTTCCATACATGTAAATCTCATGATCACAATGATATGACCATGTGTATGACTCTCGGTGCACTCTCAATTAGTTATAAAGGATGACAAAAATATTTTGATTATGTATCTTAGCCTCATAGAAAAGGTATATCAATTATATTTCGGAAGTATTGTATGCATCATCCTTTGAAACCATAATTTTTATGCGATATCTCATGCATGCATGTGTATGATAAGGAACTCTAATCCTGAGCCGAATGATCCAAGCTTTTGTTGAAACAAAAACCCTTTAAATTAAAGTAATTAACACCTCCTCATACGAAATTCGGATCAAGCAAGAGATAAAGCTAGAATTAGATTACCTCTTACGATAGAAGATCTAGGAGCAAGATTTGGAAATCTTGTTCAAAATTGAGTCACTCCACCATCGAACTTGATCCAGACTTGATTGAATTGCTTGGATGCAATCTATCGCAAGAATTGCATGAAACTTAGAAATGACAAAAATGATGCTCGAATTTCTAAGGATAAATGTCTCAATTTGATATCTGAATTTTGTTCATCCACGAATCTGATTTTCACATAACATATTGTGGGTATGTATAGTCTTCCGACAAAAATATTTGTGGCCAGGATTTAATCTCGATCCCCTTTAATCTTCACAGACGAAGTCAAATTGACTATTTGACCCTTCACATAATTTATAAAATTAAAAATAATACTTTCCAATAAAAGCTCATATGTTTGAGTAGCTAACGAGATAGACTTGAAATCAATTGTTGCCGGCTTAGTTTGAGCCCTATTGAATCTTCTTGACATTTTTTTAATCTCCTTGGCAATAGGTCCATTTGGAACATCCCGATTCTTATCGGTGTACATTGAGCATAAATTCGCTCAATTCATATATTTGTATGAATGTGTACCTATAAAAATACTTTCAAGTCCTATTTTCTTTTTGTGGTTCAATTACGGAGAGGGGTGCAGATGCATGCTTAGGGCTTACGAAAATGAGGTATTCGCCTAATGGGTCTACTTGCATGTGTAGAGAACTACTATACAACCAAACCCACTCGAATAAATTTTGAACCTAAGGTTGTAGACATGATTTTAGGTCACATTAAAACGTGAAACTATAGTCGCATGTGTTTGCATTTTTTCAACCCCAACAATGACATCACTTACGAGTATTTTTAAATACTCGTTCTATAATTATTAACCTTTTTCTAAGTAAATGCAAGTGACTCATGTACGAATGATGACGTTGCTAAAGAGGCCATGAAACAAAGTCATAGATAGTTTCTTCCACATTTTAGTTATTGATATGAACCACGACCAAGGAATTTCCATACCTCAAGGTCCAATTACAAGGACGAGAACCATGAAGTTACAACAAATTTTAATCACTTACATTCAAGTGATGGTGAGCTCATCAAATGAAATTTTTGAAGATGTTCGAGTCCTTCCTTGTGCAAATTTGAACTACCCATTTTAATAGGGAGGTTATATATGTACTCAACTCACATACGTTAATAATGTCAAAGGCTATATAAAGTCTTCTTCTCTTTCGGACGTCACATTTTAGAATTGAAAAGAACATAGTTCCTATTTTAATTTTATTAAGAGCTAAGTTTTTTTACTTTGCAAATACTTAGGTTTATAATTTCAAGTCGTATTGATCATACCTCTTATGAATGATTCGAATTGCGAGTTTAGAAACGAGTTTTCTTTATTCTTGATCTTGATCTTGATCTTCAAGTTAATCTGTTCGAAACTTTATTAACATGATGCAAATTAAATACCATGTTAATCCTTTCAATTTTAAATTCTTTTAGGGGTTGTTAATCCTTATTTAAATTATGTTATTTTTTATATGATTACAAGCTTATGATTATCTAACTTCATGGCAATTTTAAATGAAAAACATTTTAAATTTGTTTATCGTTTTAACGAGTCATAACATGCACGGAGTAACAATTTTATTTTTAAAGAAAAAAATTAGCGTCATTATAGCGTAATTCAATGTTAGCCCAAAGTTTTAAAGTATTTTGTATAATTCGATAAAAAAATCATAAATTGAAATTTATTTCACGACCACGTTGAAGAGTGGAATTAGTGTTCGACCCAAATCTTTTCTTCTTTCCTTAACTTCAAGCTCGAGTTTTTTGTGTGTTATTCGATTTTTAGTTGTGTCGAGCCCATTTCATATTAGTTCTCGTTATTGTTTCATACTCATATAAAAAAAATGCATAAATTTCATAATTCTTATAATATTAATTTGAATCAATTGAGTTAGATTGGTATCAATTTTATTTTCAACCAATGTTTCGAAAGGTAAAGTTAATATTAAAAAATATAATTAAACCTTAAAAAAAAACTATTTTAACTCCACGACCTTAATTTAGGGAATGATCATAAGTTTATAAAAAACATAATATATCTTCATCGATATCAAACTTTCAGGGAAGCCCAAAGCAAAGTCACAAGAGTCTATACTAAAAGTGGACAATATCATATCATTAGAGAGAGTAAACAAAAAAATGTTTACCCACAAAACGACCTGAATTTTTAGTTTTCCAAACCCAACCTATATTAAAAAAAACGTAACTCAACCCAACATTTGGAGTTTGAATCGAATAATATGGGTTGATATTGAATCATACAAACATTGATAATGAAAAGAACGTTAAGATTAATCGGTTTTGTTTATTTAAATGTCGTCCTCTCGAGTTGTGAGTGTGATATTGAAGATTGTTAGTGTTATGTGGTGGGTAGCTATTGTTATGTAGTCCATAATTTTGATTATATTTTCTCTTTTTTTTTAATTAAAATTTATAAATTGGTTTCATACATATACAATATAAAATTAAATAAAAAATAATCAAAATAAAGAATTAGGAGTTATATATATATACTATATATAACCATTTTATAGTTGTTTCATTCATTTATTTTATTTTATCTAATCATTTAAATATTATATGTATGATTGAATTCTAAAAAAAGAAAAAAGAAAAATTTAATATATTATTAATTATATTTAATATACTCTACTCAGTCATTTTTAAGAAAATTTCTCCCTAAAAAAATGTAAATTTATCTTAACGGTTTAATAGTCAAAAGTATAAAAAAGAAATTCTTTGTATATACATTCGAACCACTGTTGGTCATATTTCTCTTTATCGAGAAATCGAAGAGGCTATACAAGGATTTTGCCGGGCCTGCTCATATCTGGTATCTCACTCAGCTAAGTAATTATATGACACCGGTATGAATTTAGTTCTCTCCGGTTCAACTAGGACAATAGGTCCTGAATTTCTACGCGAATCAAGATCGAGAAAAGGAAGTTTTTCAATCATTGACTCGAACCTCAAACCTATTGTCGAACCCCACTCAGCGTAATATGGAG